GCATTTGATGACTGGCTTGCCCGCAGTGGCTTTCTTTGCTCGGAGTCTTTCCTTTGAACAATGATAGGCATCTCAACGACAAAGTTTGGCTCAGCTCTCCAGGTGGCGGGGCAAAGGTTGTGGGGAGTTTGTGGCTCTCAGGCTTCCCGTGAGTCAATGAGCTGTAAGGAACTTTTTGAAGCCAGTTGTCCAGCAGAGTCTCGGCTGCTTTGAGGGCGCAACGCTGCAAATGGGCGTCGTGCAACCTGCATGTGATGCAGGTCAGTGTGCGTTGCAGAACGTTGCCCAATTACAACTAACGCAGACACCATGTTGCACAAGTGACTTTTCAATTGCCACACTTTGGAGGAGCCCGGACTGTGCCCGGGTGGGGCTTGCTTTGTCCCGAAATGACATGTGCTCGCAAAAGCACGAGGCTTTTCACGGCCATGCGTATTTTGCACAGCCTCAACATCGCCCATCTCGACCTGTCACTTGAGTGCCTTGGACTTGGAATGCTCGGGGGCTCGAATGTGTCGGTAGTGTTTCGGATGTTCCTTGTATGGGTGTTTTTCCTGTTGACAGTTGGCACGAAGCATATTTCCTAGCTCGAGAAACTACGGATGACTTTGCCGAGATTTTTAGTTTTCTTTTTAATGAGACTTGCTTGTAGGAAGTTGACCACCTGCCACGGCATGGCTTGAGCGACTTGATTCTGTTACTTTCTCACTGCGGGGCTGCAGGATATGTATGGGCCTTACATTTTGCGGGATTGTTGACGGGCAAGCATCCAATGCGCAAATCCAAACTGCCCAGCAAACTGCTATCCCGCTCTGGTATGGCCCAATACAAGAAGAAGATGAATAAACGCAGTTTTTGAAGCGCCAAGGAACACTGAAATGGCTAGTAGGCACAGTTCGCCTTGCAATTCCAAAGCAACCCAGCAACAGCAAATGTTCTAGTTTGGGGCATCATGTTACGTTGCGCATCCTCAGGAACACTTTGCTGACAGAGAGGGAGGACGGCTCCTTGCAGCTGAAGCTGATTGATTTCGGCATGACCGTGGTGGACCAACACCGTTTGGCCGCGTGGCCGCATGGAGCATTTGAGTTGCGAAGATCGAGCGGCCCCACGTTTCAGAGGCCCGTTGCAAGGAAGCCAATTTGTAGTCAGCCGACTGCTCAAAGCTATGGCACGCTAGCGGTCAACTTCCAACAAGTTGCAAGTAATGGTGAACGCTTCGCCTCAGCCTTGGTGGAATGGGGGCTGTCAAGAACGTGCAACCCGAAGCTGCATGCCACCGTTGCTTCAGGCCGGTGCTCGCGGCAAGCCATCCTACCAGGCACCAGAGATGCACGACATGCCATCCTTCGCGCCTCGGCTTGGGGGCCATGTAAGGCAACAGCTTCGTGCTTGAATCAGCGGTCCGTTCTTTATTTACCGCCGCCTGTTTGCACTTGTCTTGCGACAGGAGTGATAGGTAGGAATGGGCAGGAGCTTCCGCCAGACGGTCTGACCATGTTGCGCACTGGCTTTCAGGACCCCCTCATCGCAGACACTTTCTCCGTCGGGGTGGTGCTCTTCGGGTGCCTTGGTTCACCAACACCTGGGGCTCAGGATGTCGACAAGGTAGCAGTCATTTGTTTTGTAGTGCGTCGAGCTCGGTCCATTCAGCTTTGGATCAGCTCCTGAGCACTATCGTTGATTTGTTTGTTCTGTACTTTTGCTTTTTGGGCGCAAGACGTTTGAAGCCTGGAAATATTTTAGCTTCGATCATGATGCGCATGCGTCAGGCTTGCCGCAACCCATGATAGCCCATTTTTTCCACTTGCTCAGGATGGTTGGGCAGGACTACCCCTGGTTGTCAACCAGGCTCAGCACTCAGTGTGGGCGAGGGCAAAAGCACCTACGTATAGTTTTGCCTCGAAAAAACTTTTGACAATCCCTGCACATGTCTGATTACCTCTTGAAAAGTATGGTTCAGGGTTGTTTCGGCTGGTGTTCAGGGTGGGTAGGGTGTCTTGGTAAAACCGCAGGTTTCGGGGCATTGTTAGAGAACTGCAGTACTGGGCATGTTTAGAAAGCCTGGACAACCGTTTGCTGCCAACGCCACGTAAAGGAAACAATGTTGTGTTTCCTGGCGTTGTGTGCAGACGCCGCATGTCTGGTGCTGTTTAAGGTGCCTGTGATAGATTCATGCAAAGCATGTGTGCGACCCTCGTTCTGCAATGCCAAGGCCGCAGGGCTGCAAGTGCTTCGACTTTGTTCGCACCAAAGGTCTCCGTGCGTATTTCCAGAAGCGCAAAGCGAGCCACTTGGCACAGACGAATCCGGGCAGACAGCTGACGTAGAGCTGCTTTTTGGTGAGCAGGACTGCAAGCAATGCCCTCTGCAGACTGGTTCAAAGGGCCATGCACACTCAATGTGCGAGATTTCATGTCGTGGGCCTTTTGGGCGGCCAACTACTAGGTACTCAAAAAGCTATCCACAACAAAGGATGTACAAGTGTTTAATTGTTTCACGCTGAACCGCCCAGACTGGCACAGGTGTTTGTGCTGTTGGGCTTTGTTCATTTGCGGGTTGTGTGGTTCGTGTCTCTCGCAGTCCTCCCACCAACCAGCATGGAACCATTTTGCAAAGGAGACCTGTCCTTTTGACGAGGGAGCCCATTTGCTTCCTTGTTTGTCGGTGGGCATCATCCTGAGGAAGTAAACTGAGGCCCCGAATCCATGAAAAGGAACCTGTTTTTTGGAGGCTGCCAGGGCATGTGGTGCCAAGGAAACTCCAACGGCGCTCGCCTATCAGAAGTGCTGAGCGCGGCTCGGCGTGCTTTTCCATTTGTTGCAGGGTTGAGTAGCTCTAGGCAAAGAGTGCGCAACGTGAGCTTGCGGAATCGGTTTGGCATGGGTTGCTGAGGAGCCTCTTATGGACCTTCTTGATGGTGTACTGCAAGTGCTCCCAGCAGATCGGGCAAGGCGGGGCTTTGAGCACATCAGTTTGTTCAATCAAGTGCGAAGCAGGCTTTCTTGAGCGGCGGGGCCTCTTTAAGCATTTCGCTTATAGCTCCCTTCCCGAGTTCCGGCGGGGCATGAAGCAGCGTCTTACGGCTGGAGACTCCTTCAAGCCCGGAGGCTAGAGCAAGACTTCCAGTGGCTGCGGGACGATGCCTGATTGGTGCGGCCGGCATGTGATGCATGTGAATGTCATGCATCATGCTGATACCCTAGATACCTTTGCCTGCATGCGGCATAATATACACTATACACGCTTACTATGCACATGTGTGTGTGTGTGTTTGCGTGCAATATAGGTGTCAAAAGCCCCCCCCCGACTTAGCGCAAGCAACAAGCCACGTACCCCTGGAAGTCCAACAGTATTTAAGGCGATTTATTAAACTTTGGTTCGGCTCAGCCGCTCAATCTTTTGCGTGCATGCAACAAGTCATACATAGCGCTTGGACCTTGGAACAAAGACAAACCAGCCACATGTCTAACCCTCAATTTCTAGTTGCGGGCCGACCAGTTGCACAGTTTGGCTTCCTGCTCGTTTCTACTCGAACTCAGGCGGATTTTCTTGGTTCCCTGTGCTTTTGTGTTTGCTTCCTGGCCAGGACCTGAGGGAATATGACGGCACGGGTCTCCTTGAGACCAATGTGCCACGGTCGGGTGGGTGTGCATTAAATGCACCTCCCTCAATTTTCGATGGCGTGCCCCAGTGGCAAATATGCAGCCATTCCGAAAGGAAATGGCTGCTGACACTGCCGCGCGGGCACTTGGGGTGCCCCAGGAGAGACAGATGGCATTTCGCATTCTTTTGTCCAAAGTGCTGGTCACCCCAGGCGTTCATCACAAAATGCCAATCCACTGTGTGTGCAAGATGTTTCGTTCACTTAGACCTGGAGCCTCAGGCTGCTAATTACTAACCGATGCAATCATGTTAATTTGCAGTCAACCACCAGAAATCATCAGGAGCTTGCCCAGCAACACTCCACGGTCGATTCTCGCTTCCTGGCTTGCTTGCGTGATAAGCCAATGGCACTAGACTAGGAAGGCAGACTGGGTCCTGGGCTTCACGCAAACCATGCCTTTGAAGCCCATGTTTGACCACGGCTGGTTCAGCCTGGCACGGACTTGCGAGTGCAAGCGTGCTGGCATGTGTTAATTGGCAGATGCCGGCGAGAGATCAATCAGCCCGTGGTCAGCCTCATGCAAGGTTGGCTGGGAAGGTGCGACAGACATTTTCACGGGTCGCCGTTCCTTCTGTGGCTTTTCCAGTGCCAAAGCATGCCTTGGTCCGTGTGGGGTTGGAACAACGGCGCCTTTTCGTCCAAAGGCGCGCACCTCCAGCAGCGATCCAAACTCAAGCGAGCAGGAGAGACATACAAGCACTATCTGTCACTAGCAAAATGCAGCGGCAAGTCCGATTGCATTCGCAAAGGCAAAACCAGGGCAAATTGCAGTGTTGCCCTAGCACCCTCTACGAGAGGTGCGATTCAATCGCAGCGGAGGTTGGATTTGTTTCTGCCCCATCGCAAGTGGATCGACGCATCTCTGCTGCGTTCCTGCAAATCTTCTGAGGCTTTTCATGCCTCGGTACAGTCCCAGCGTTGGTCTGGAACAGCCTGCCGCACTAAGAGGTGAGGCAATCGTGTGTTTGCGTGGCGGTAACGGCGGACTTCCTGATTTTGACCTCGAGGCAGAGGTTCACACTGTCGACGGCCTGCAAGCTTTAGTGCAAAAAAGGATCCAGGGCAATGCGGAACCAGCACCCACCTCGAACTTGGGTGTCATTTTGCTTGTGGGGAGCAATTGGGAAGATGGAATCAGCTCCCTCCCACCCTTTGAGATAGTGGCGATGTTAAACAAAGAGGTTGAGCAACATTGAGCATTCGATCTCATCGTGCTGCCGTGATAGAAAGTATGAGGCCATATGAGGCCCGTGGAAGAATTGCAAAAAGCCGGCGATTGGGTAATCCGCACCTTGGAGCAAGCTTGACTTGACAGATCTTGCTGCCGAGCCGGCAGCTGGTTGCTCAGATGTATCCGGCAATGCCAAGCCTTGGTCATTTCCTGTCAGCTGCCTGCCATGTCCGTGCGGCTGCGGTCTCGTGATGGGGAGCCTTGCAGTCTTGCAGTTGGCGCATGAGAAGTTTGTCGTGATGCTTGCGATACAGGTTGCTTTCCTTTCAACACTACCTTCCCCAACCGCTCGATTGGTTTGGTTAGCTGCGGTTTGATCAGTTTAGGCCGAGGAAGCCTGTTGGACGTCTTCTCAAGGTTCAACATGCTGGAATTTGTCCGTTGCCATTTGTTTCTCCTTGTGGCTTCAGAATGGGCGTCCGCGCCAAGCACGAGGTTGGACTTGTACGAGTCCTACGGGACGCCTTGCTTTCAAGTTTAAGAGTTGCCAGACATTAACAGGGACTGTCTTTTGGGTGGTCCCAGGGCCCAGAATATTGGAAGTCGATGGATTTTCGTGTAAGCTCACGACTTGTTCTCACCACTTTACAGAAGAGAGGAGCGTGAATTCTAGGGCCTGTCATTCGGGAGGGCACTTGTCATTAACTCACAGTTGTTGTAGGCCGTGTGCTTTGAAGGCGGGGCATTTATTAGATATTGGGAGCGCTCACCTGCAGGCATGAATGCTGATCGCTTGCACGCATGTGCCCGCGCGCGCGCGCGCCTAGAAGAGGCGGCCGGTTGGTGTAGGCCCTGCTTAAAGATTCGCAACAGCTGCAGTTCACGCAGCGAAGGCTAAACCATATGGCCCTTTCAGCCAAGATGAGTGGTGGAACAGGCGGCCCCAGGCGTTTCGGGCCTTCTTGCTCTTGAATATTCTTGAATCTTGCATGCTGCAAGGAACCTGTTGCTGCAGGGTGACTAAGTAGAATCTGCTTGCGCAGGCTGATTGAAACCAAACCGTTCGCGGCGGCACGGGCATTACCTTGCAGCAGAGCGCAACTCTGAGGACGTTTTCGAGGTGGGCCGCTGGCTCATTGACCTGAGCCCGGTACTCTCCAGCACGGAGAGCGACTCTTGGCTTTGCTGATGGCAAGTTACAAGCATTTGTTTGTGGAATCCGGACATGGGATGGTCAAATGAAAGTCGCTTTTGTTGTTCAAACACGCACACACACATGCTAGCTTGGCAATATCAGTGTTGCCTTTCTGTCAGCTGGAAATTACTTTGTCGCCAAAGGGGTGACGTGTCAAGTGGTGTGTGAAGGGAAGCCAGCAATAAAGGCGCCATTTGAAGGAGCTTTTTTGAAGCAAATCCACATGAGCCTTGTCGAGAATCTCCCATAGTTGACTTCTGCACATGTACTGCAAGACTTGCGGGTTGACGCCGACGCCCTGGCCACATCCTGCCTTGCTATTCAGTGAGGCTGGCAAGTATCGCTGGATGCTTTGCCAGCGGTTTATGCACTACGTTCGTGACGACACAAGTGGGAACCTTTCGGTGTCAACTCATTCTTACCATGGGCAACATCGTCGAGACTGCAACAACAGCAGCGCAGACATGCAGCGGAGCAGGACCTGGAAGACAGACAGGACTAGGATGATGTCAAGCAAACCAAAGCTGTCAAGGATTCCGTGCCAGCCAGACGTCCCACCCCGCGAAGCGAAGCGAGCAGCAAGCCTTAGCAAAAACACAAGAGAGAGGACAAACGAAGACTTGTCCATGCCGCTGTCCAAAAAAACTGCAGCTACGATGCGCGCGGGCGACCTCGCTTTCATGCCCACGGCCCCACGGCCCCAGCCCGGCGAAAAATCCTCACCGCCCTTGAGTGGGCAAGACAACGCAGAAATGGACCGGACAACGCAGAGACGTGCAACAACACCACCTCTTAACATCAGCGTGCCTCCAGCAGCATGGGGCCTCACTTGGCTTGAACGTTGACGGCTCACCCCACCACGCTTTGTGGCTGGTGGTGCCACAGTTTGTAGAGTCCGCAGTTGCCGTACTTTGGCTGTCATGGCTGTCCCAGTCCTGTCTTTTTTCCTGGGCATTTGGAGAGGAAGGTGTTGCCAGAGCATGGTTAGAACGTTTGGTGATACCACTTGCTTGTCCAAGAAAATTCCTATTTTTCAAAGAGGTCTTCCTGCAACCCGGACACGGGAGCTTCCGGATTCCCTCAGGACGATGAGATCCCTTTGCCCCTCATCGGCACCTTCGCCTTGAAGCTGCTGCTGGCACACTGCCAGGAGATGGGTGCGTTCTAAGGGGACCAAGCCCCAATTTTTGAATTTCCGGGCATGAGGGCTTCCAAAGTAGGCCCCCGTCGAAGAATATGATTCGTTTGGCTTCCTCAGGCTCCAATCGATAGGGATTCTGGATTTTAGTCGACACCCAAGCTTAGATCCATTCCATGCGCAGTTATTGAGCGCTGTGGGAATGTTTGAATGAATATTGCCACAAGATGGCCGCGAGGCCTCTCATCACCCCACCCTACCAAGGACTTCCTAAGCAAAGGCAAATCGCAAAATCCAGAACCGCTAGCCGCCCCATCCTGCTGCAATCCTGTGCCGATGCAGGAGTACCGGAGCCAGGGACGTTGGATTCTGAGCCGGAAGCCTCCTGGTTTGAGCATTTTTTTTCTGTGCAGCCTCTGGCTCCCACAGAAAGTCTGCTTTGAGCGACTTCAACAAGGGAGCAGAAAGGGTGCATTGTCGGGACAGTCCATGTCTTCATGTATTCCGACAATTTACGGCAACATGCCCAACCCCCTGAGCAATGAGTAGAGGTATGCAACTTGCCCATACAGGAGCCTTTCCCCGTCACGTTGTTTGCAAGCGAGAATGTATGGAGGGCGGCCCCACAGTTTGTCCAGTTGCCAGTGGAGGGTGGTGATCACGCCAAACTTGGTTGCACCGTCCGATTCCAAGTCGTGACCTTTGCAATTCCTTGGCTTCTCATGTGATTGGCCTCACCCCCCCACCCCCTACTGGTAATCGAAGCTCGCTCAGTGGACGCCCAACTCAAGTGGTACCGCATACTTGTTTTTTGGTGGACATGGTTCCCAAGATTGCAAGCCTGCAGCATGCTTGTTTTAGCCTCCTCCTTGGCGTCTTTGCACCCTGCCCCTTTCTGGCAGGACGCTGCCAGGCTACAATATATGCGCATTATCACATTTTGCTTCGCTTCTCTAGATTAGTACAGCACCTAATCTAATCTTTCCTGAGATGCCTACTACTACCATACGAGCTGACTGACGGACCTGGCCTGACCTGGCCTGGGCTGACTGAAGAAAGGCTTCCTTTCCCGCTATGCTTATCGCCTGACCGATTTAACTGGTTAAACTCAAAGACATCCGGGACGACACCCCGGTGAAACAAACAAGAGCTATTGAGTCCCCGCAGAAAAATTCGCGAGGCTTTCCTGCAGCGACCTGGAGAAGCTCTCTGGTGCGGCTCACTTCCTGGCACTGGAGCGCTTGGCGGGGCTGTGCGCCGCCAAGTTGGCCCCTTGGCCAAGCTTCTTATGTGACCCTGGTGCTTTTAGGCGGCTTTATTGGAGGAGGCGCCTCTCTGAAATCTGCAAGGATTTGAGGGTGGAAAGGCCATTCGAGCCTTTTCAGACCTCGAAGAAGGGGAGCCAATAGATGGCCAATTGGTTGAGGACTGTCGGCCAATGTGTCATGTCTTGTCACCCGTTGATGCAATTTGAGCTCAATTACCTGGGTTGAAACACCCGGCGCTGAGCACTTGTGGTCTGGATCAGTTTGATGAACAAGTGCACCTGTCAAAGGCAGAATTCAGAAGCTGGAATGGCCCCATAATCGAAGGCTGGACATGTGAGTCACATTCATGATACGTGCTCAGTTCCCCAGATTTTATCCAAAGCCAATGCTTTGCAGGATATCCATATGCTCACTTGTTTTGCCAGTACTTGGGCTAACTTCCGTGTCGCTCAGGCAGAGCTGGTGCTGAAGCAGGACAGCGCTACACAGATCCTGATCGAGAGAGCCCTTGAAAGACATGGTTTTATTGTAGAGAGTCGTTTTTCAGGTTGCCGCTTTGTTTTTGCAAGGTAGAGCAAGGTTGGTCGCCAGGGTGCACTTTACCTACGCCAGCCCCCAACCCGCAAACCGCATTAAAGCCCACCCAACCCCAAGCCCTCATTCCTTGTGACACACAGGTCCCATTGAAATGGTCAGGACGCGGCGCTTCAGCTAAGCCCGCGGACGCTGCGCCGCCTACTGGACTTCCGCGGCCAGCTGCCCCCAGAGGTTGGAGAACTGACCATGCATATGAGTTCTTCTGTTCCAAAACAAGTACTGCCCTAGGAGAGCGAAAGCAGAAGAGATTAAATATAATTGTTTTCATGAGGTGATCTAGTGATAGAATGGCTTGGTTGGGTAAGGTTGTAAGAATGAGAGGCTTGTTCACTGTGATGCCAGGAAATCGCCCCTTGAAGTGAAGAATTAGTCAATGTTAGTCATTGGCCGCTGTTTTCTATTTGGTATCAATCCCCGAAGTGGACCACTCCCACAGCCATGTTTTGGGCACTATATAACTCTTCAAAAGATTGTTCGACATCCACGCCACCTCCATATCATTGGTGATCAAAAGGAAACCAGGGACTTGTCTTGATGCTGACCGTACTTCTCATACAGTTGGACTTGTGTTTGTCCCTGGGAAAATGATAATGATGCAAGTGTGGTTGGACCAAAGCCACCCAGAAAGTGAGAACACCAGTGGCGATGGATTCCTGCAAAGGAATACCAAAATGAGGGAATCTTCAAGCAAGAGTTGTTCAAATCTGAGCAAAAGAGGTAGTTGGCTCAATCCTGCCTCACTGATTCAGCAACATTGTTTCTTGTTCAACCGCATGTTCGTTGCATTTGGCACTTGGGCTTAAGCAATTTGGTTTGAGCACGTGTGCCCTCGCTACAGTAACAGCTCAGAGCTTTGTAGCGCCTTATTTGCGTAGGTTTTTTTTGAAGGGGACAACTGTGAACGGGAGGGGTTCGGGCGAGGCATTTGGATCCTGCGACAGGCCCTCTGTGCCGTGATCACCGCGTCCGCCCTGGAGGCCCTGGAGGCGGTGGCGCGGCATAGGGGCCACGCCCACCCAGAGGTGCGCCTGGCCGTGGTGCAGGCGCGGCTCGAATTTCGTGTCGGTTTTGAGGGCGCCGGAGTTTTGGGGAATGGAAACAGAAGCCGGAGTGACGAACAAACTCAGATGAGCAAGGCAAAGCGACCTTGTCACCTGGTGTGGTTTTCTGATTTAGTGGTCAGTGTTTGGCCAAGGTTCTGACAGGTTGAAATGCAAAGTCCAAGTCCCTTGGGCAAGTTTTCGCGGGCTGGTGGTTCTTGATACTGATCTGTGAAAAGGAAACCAAAAAAATCAGTCGGCATTCTTGAGGGTGCCATGTGAGTGAGGTTTCGTTTTCGTAGGTGTGCGGAATGACTTGGTTGCGCAAATATTTCCAAGAAGCTGAAAGGCTTGAGGTGCTAAAATGTTTCAGAAATACCTTGCTTACCTGTTTTGTTGCTGTTCTGGCCCTGAAGCCCTGGAAATAGAAAACCAATACTGGGGAAACGCTGGAAGCGAAGAAAACGTGGCCCAAATTTGCCACGGGAAGCCATGGAGCCAGCCATAGGCGATGAGCCGGGCCCGTGAGGCGCCAGAGTGGATCCAGAGCAGGCTGCAGGCGGGTGGTTTTTGAAGCCTTCCACCGGCGTGGCTTTGAAGCAATCGCACCACGCCCTGCAGTTTAGAAGCTCATTTTTGGGTTCCCATCATTCCAACACGAGCTTCTGTTCAGACGCAGGTGGAGAAGGAGCCACGTATCCAGCAGGCACTGCTCTCCTGCCTGCAGCACAGCCGCAGCGCTTGGAGCAGCAATCAGGTCAGGGCACAACATGGGACAACACAAAGAAGGTTTCGGATTGAATCGATTCGCAGACCCTGTTTTTTCAACCCCAAATTTGTTTCTGTTGGCTCCATGTTGATCTTGATTTAAGGGCCCAAAATCAGTTCGGGGGGTGGGTGGAAAAAAGGGGTCCCCCTGTCCCATGCAAGGGGCAAACCCCTACTCTGACGGATTTCTTCATTTTTCAACATGTGGTCCAGAGCCAAGCGCAGAAACTCCCCCGCGCCCTTTCAGATCTCGAAGCTCCTTTGCTTCCTGGCGCCTGCGCGCGTTGGCGCCGTCCGGCTCAGCGCTCTGGACGCGCTGTCGGCGGTGGCGGTCCCGGACGACGCGGCCGCATTGGCGGCGCTGCTGGGAGCGCCGCCCTACGGGCGCCAGGGGCTGCGGGACACGCAGCCGGCGGTACGTCTCCGGGCACTTCAGGCGCTGAGGCGAGCCATGGGCCACGGAGCTTACACTTGGGGTCAAGGTCAACACAGCCTTCGCAGGCGGCTTAAACACTTTTTGTTTTCTCGAACTGTCCTATTGGCAGAGCCATGGCCGAAAGGGTCCCCATGTTGGATGGGTTGAAAGTTGAAAGGGGCACGCTTGCAGGGTCCCGTACTGCAACACGCCCATATGTCAACAGCCAGTCGGACAGTAGCCATAGGGGAGCCATTGGGAGCCAATGGCTCGGAAAGCTTTCGGGCATCCGCGGAGGAGAGGAGAGACAGAGAGAGATAAAACGTTTTGGCATGCCATGCGTTGCGCTAAAGCAAGCAGCCTCCTGGATGCAGACTACAAAGGACTTGGCAAGGGGCCCAAACTCGAATCGAAGGTATTTCCTGCTTCCCTCAAAAAGTGTTCGCTGCCTGTTGCACAGGCAGCTGGTGGCGAAGAACCGCAGCCTACAACTGCTTGAGGCTGTAGCCGCGCTCCTGCAGGACGCGTGAGCGTGCTGGGAGGTTGGTGCAGGTGCGCCATGTCTCAAGAAGGAATTTGTTTGAAAGCCCCATCCACCAGATGGCTTGGTTTCCTGGCTTTTTACTTTTGAACCATCCAAAATGGAGTGCCCATATCTAGATATTCTACTTTCTAAGCTTAAAGGGCAGAGGTGGCCAAATTCCCCTTCTGGTGGTTTAAAGCGGTGTTCTTGCACAAACAAATGCCTGTGGGGAGGACCCTGCATGTTGCGGGAGCATGGGCAAATGTTCCTCTCGCCAGGACATGGATGACCAGGTGCGGCAGGAGGCGGTGGACGTTTTGGCCTGGCTGGGCAAGGGCAACGTCGCGGCCATCCAAGGCGCAGTGGACTGCTTGCGGCACAGCACCTCCACGGTGAGAAGCTCCTCGGGAGAAAGGGACCCCAACTTTTTTGGCCTTTCAGACGTTTGATTTCCCAGTGTTTGTTGAACTTGAGTTCTGGTGTGAAAGGGTCGGCAATCCAATATGCAACATGTATACGTGCATGTGTTCAACAGCTTTTTTGTCATTACAATTATTATGTTGCACCTGCATGTCGCATTTCTGCCGACACGTGTGCGCAACAAGTCACATCTATGCGCGCATAACAATGCATGAGCACGTGCGCCTGAGACTGCGGGCCAAGGCTGCGGCATCAAAGCCCTGCGGCTGGTGGCGCGAGGCAACTCCGCGGGAGTTGC